CAGCAATTGAAGTTGGAGCTGGAGAGAGAGAAGTTGGCAGCCGAAATGGCGAGAGAAGAAAGAGAAGCGAGGGAGAGACAGCTGAAGGAAGAAAGAGAAGCGAGGAAGCGACAGCTGAAAGAAGAAAGAGAAGCGGAGATGGCTGAAAGGGAACGGCAGCGGCAGCACGAGATGGAACTCGAGCGGCTCCGTTTGCAACAGCAAAGTGAAACTCCCATCCAAGCTAGAGTTGAAAGCAGCGAACGGGAAGATCACGGCTTCCGCTTGAACCCAAGCAAGCTGCTCGTAGCGTTTGATGAAAGGAAGGACAACCTAGACACGTACCTCCACAGATTTCAGACGATTGCGAGGAGCCAGAATTGGCCTGAACAGCAATGGGCAACTGCTTTGAGTACTTGCTTGAGTGGTGAAGCGCTCAGTGTGTACGGTAGGCTGACGCCGACCGATGCAGCCAACTATGCCAAGGTGAAAGCTGCTTTGCTAAAGCGATTTAGATTTACTGTGGAAGGATTCCGGGACAGATTTCGGACAGGAAAGCCAGCTGATGGTGAGACGGCTACGCAGTATGCCGCCCGACTTTGCCATTATTTCGACAGATGGATTGAACTTTCAGGGACAGCACAGGAGTACGATGAGCTTAGAGAGCTTCTAATTAGAGAACAATTTCTTACTAGTTGCCACCCAAGCCTGTCGCTGTACTTGAAAGAGAGGAGAGCTAAGTCACTTGAAGACATGCTTGAATTAGCTGATCAATTCTTGGAAGCGCAAGGTGGCACTAATTTGGCCAAAATCAAGAAGGAGTGTCCCGAGGATTCGAAGAAATCGGCTCCCGAGGAAAAGAAGCGTGCACCGGAGAACATTTCGCGATGTTTTCTGTGTACCGAGTGGGTCACCGTGCTAGCCACTGCCAACTAACTTCACGAGCCCCACGGTTGTAAAATGTTTCAAATGTGGTCAGACTGGGCACAAAGCATACGCATGTCGAAACGGAGCGAGTCAAACTCACCAGGTATCCTGTGTGCAAGCGGCACCGAAATCCGGTGATAATGCCGTCACCGATGGATTTGTAGAGTTGAAAAGTGGGGAGAAAATTCCTATTGTGGGTGCGGTAATGGCAAAACAGCCAACCGGTGTTTCGAAGGGAATGCCAACGCTACCTGGAAAAGTTGCAGACAAAAAGATTACGGTGTTAAGAGATACCGGCAGCTCCACTGTTATCGTGCGGAGAAATCTGGTGCGGGAAAGTGAGTTAACTGGCAAAATGAAACCGGTTTGCCTAATTGACCGTACGGTTCGGATGCTTCCCGAAGCAGAGATTGAGGTGGAAACCCCGTACTTCAGCGGGAAGGTTACCGCTCTATGTATGACGACCCCCCTTTACGACCTTGTCATCGGAAACATTGACGGGGCGCGAGGACCGAATGATCCGGAATGTTTGGGAGAAGACCCTAAGATAGAGCCCTCGCCAACCCAGCGACCGCGAGATACAGTGGAGGAGCATCCCGTGACGGATCTCACTAGAGCCCAAGGTGAAGCCGCGGCGCAAGAGACAGCGAATGAGAAGATGATCGAGTTGAATGAGTTCACGTGCTGGGCAGCTGGACGTACGTCGGCCCGACCTCAACCGACAGACAGTGTAAAGGTGACGAAGTCGGCCAGCCAGGCCCAATGTCGTGACATGAACAAGCGGGTGACAGGATCGGTTGAGCGTTATCACCTGTTAACAGTGTACGAAGTGACAACGATGGCTGAGACGCCGCCTCAGACCCCGTCGTTGGAAAAGGCTCGCCGAAAAAGAACAAGAAAAACCAAGAAGAGATCGAGCGAGCACCGCAAGAAAGGACGCAAGCGCAGCTCGAAATACACAGGATAGGTGCTGAGGTGGAATCGGAGTGTGTTTGGCAGGGCTGGGTGACATATGTTGTGTTAATGTTCTTGTTATCCTGTGTTACGAGTGTATGTCGAGCGAGTCAAAGTGTTCTGTGCGATGATGTAATGTATAGTGTTGTATATTTGTTGTAAGTACAGAACTTTGAACGTTTGTATTGTTTGGAATGTGTGATGAAGTGTTGTAGTCATGTACCTGTGGCTATATTTCATGTGTTGTGGAATTGAACTACAATGTACCATTGTATTGAGTGATCTATTGTGAATGTGAAGTGTCATGAGCGACGGTTTGTGTTACAGTCTTTCAGAATGTGTGGTGACTGTTCGCGCTCGTTTGTGTGGTTTTGAATATTATGAGATAATATTCTTAAAGTGGGGGGCAGTGTCACTCAACGAGCGCTAAATATGGGCGCGCCGCCAAATTTTTGCGATAACGCGCGGGAGAGACGTCGCGAGGACAAAAGAAAAAAAAAGAAAACAAACGTCCGAGGCTCCCCGGGCGCGCGCTCTCCCCTCGGAAGCGTGGCTTCGCCGACGAACCTCCTCACCCCACATCGGCGGCCTAGCATGCCCTAGAAATTTCCAGAAGAAAAGGGGCGTGTATGCCGGGTTGAGTCATCTGTCGGGGACGGCCCCCGTACAGTCTCGCGCCTTTCCCCAGCCTTCGCTGCGTATCGCGCCGACGAAATGACGAGAACTTTCTGGAATGTCGCGCGGAAGGTATTTAACCGAGCAGCTGAGACGAGAGATCAGGAGAAGACGGAAGTTAGCGCCAGAGCGCGTAGGCATTCCGCCGTGTAGTCGGCGAAGGTTTTGTCCGTAGCGACAAAGCAGGAGAAGAAGAAAATTTCCACCTGAGGGGTGAAGGCTCGAGCTACAAGCAAGAGCGTGTGTTTACCGCTATCGAGCGAAGACGTGTGGCAACAGCTGCGTGTGTGAAGCCGACGTGTTTCCGGCGAAGAAGTTTGAAGCTTGGAGAGAGGCCAACCGAAGACGCGAGGTTTCCTGGAAGAGAAACTTCGGCGAGGTTTCCTAAAGAGAAACTTCAGGGGGCAGCGGAACGACAACAACGCTGGACTTTGAGTGAGTGATACTCGGAAGAGTATCATTCAGACTTTTGTTCCAAGGACTTTGGACTGAATAGGTTTTCTATCTCTTTAGTCTTTAAGTGTCTTGGTTGTTCAATGCATGCGACTGCATTGTAGTGTGTATTGTTGTCTGTGTCCGTTGTTTCGAGTGTGGCTGATTGTACTGTGTAGTACGTTGGTTGATTGGTGACATATTGTACTCAACTATTGAGGAGTGTGCATACTCGTGTATTGCTTTCGATCTGCAATTATTGAGAATATAATTTTGTTTGTTTATCAACTCTCGGCTCTGACTTGTTCTTTGGGCCACAGCCGGCGTCTGCTGGCGCGCCAATAAGGACCACTTCTAAACTGTCTACGCTTTCGTGGTGCGGTTCGGGGGGCCGATACTTCGGCCCTTGAAATTAGCCCGGCGATCGCCTCCATAATTAACGGGACCTGTGTGTGACACACTGGATACGTGATTTGTTATATCGTGAGCCGTAAACGCTTTCACCATGAGAAGTCATAGTTATGCAGCGCCCTTCAACTGCTTCAAGGGACTTACTAGTGTGGCACACTTGCGGCAGTCGAATAAACCCGAGAATTCAATCAAGTATCTTCATATTTCTCATTGAGACCGAGCATTGCGGTCAAGCAAGTGTGAACTTCAAGTGATTAGGTGAAGATGAAGTCTGCAGAGTTGATTTTTTTTTCAAACAAAAACCGATGTCTATGAGACGTGGCCCTTGCCGGGCGTCTCGCTAACTTTCTACCCCCGCATCACCGACCGTCATCCAGGTTCCAGTTATATAGTCGCTACTCGGCGCCACCACACTCCACGGGACTTAGGCCAACTGACGCACCCCGTGGCGGCTCTTCATCGATCGTGAGCCTATACCACAGCCTATTCAGCGCCTATGCTCACAAGTGCTCCTGGTCGGGAAATGTGACGACCAGCCACTGACGGCGGCTAGTGGTAGGGGTCCACAATTTATGCCGCCTTTTCTATGTTTCTAATAAGAACAGTGGCCCCGCCGTGGTGGTCTAGTGGCTAAGGTATTCGGCTGCTGACCCGCAGGTCGCGGGTTCAAATCCCGGCTGCGGCGGCTGCATTTCCAATGAAGGCGGAAATGTTGTAGGCCCGTGTGCTCAGATTTGGGTGCACGTTAAAGAACCCCAGGTGGTCAAAATTTCCGGAGTCCTCCTCTACGGCGTCTCTCATAATCATATGGTGGTTTTGGGACGTTAAACCTCACATATCTATCTAATAAGAACAGTGGCGCCCACTTCCTATTCGACACTGGAGCCCATAATAGCGTCATACCGGCCTCGTGCGCAGATCGCCGTCGCAACGAACAGCCGTTTCAACTCCAAGCGATCAACAACTCCCTCATCCTCAGATACCACCAATGGTTTCTTAAACTTACCCTTGGACTACGCGATACGTTTCGCTGAAATTTCATCCTCACTGACGTCTTGCAAGCTGTTCTTGGGGCTGGCTTTCTTAGTTTCTCAAATCTCGCAGCGAACATGCACTCATCGCCACGTCGATGTTAGTACGCGCCTCTTCATCGACGGTTTACCCTGTGCTTCTCGGTCGATGGGACCTCGAGCTCTGATACCAGCTTCATTGTATGCGAAAGTATTCGCTGAGTTTCCCGACATTACGAAGTCGTACACAAAAGAGTCATCGGTGAAGCATTCCATCACTCACCATATTGTCACCACAGGACCTCCCGTGTTTACTCGGCCCTGTCGACTGCTTGAACAATGCCTCGCCATCGCCCGCCGGGCGTTTGAGCAAGTAGCGCCACACTAGATTTGGCCAGCTCACCACGCCAAAAAGGAAGCGAGCCACGTGGCTCGTGTGATGCAAGCCATGAGAAATTTCAGAACGGGTGAGCTTCTGGCCTGGCTGGACGCTGCAGCTGTGGCTCCACCTACGCCCGCGTCCCGAATAAAAGCTGCGACCTTGGCGCGGGCTCGTCGCCGCCGTCTCCCCTCTCCTTCCTCAACATATGGTGACCACTGACCGACGGACAGGCGCCCAGCACTGCACCGCTGCCTCTGAGCTTCGCAGCCAGGTCTCAGCCACCTCAAGCCTTGAAGCGGCACTTTGACCCGCCTCTGCCACCATTCCTGACCTGAAGGACCTGCTGATCTGAAGCACGGGCCCTTCGACGAGCCATCGGCTGCCATGTTTCCGTGACTCTGCCCGGCAGTGCCACCGTTCCTATCGACCTATACCAAGGTATGATTTATGCAGCTCGACGCCGTTAGTGCGGTGAATGGCGTCGCGGACCAGACGCTGTTGCACGCCAGTCTTCTCGACGCCCTTCCGGTAGAACTGCGTCAACTTGCTGCCACTTCAAGCTCCAGCCCGCAGCGTTACGATGACCTCTGCACTGTGGTGCTCACCCACTACGACCACACGTACCGCCCACTTCCATTTACCATCGCCTGGAAGGTTTCCCGGTGTCGCAAAACAAGGTATCGACCGGCCATCATCCCTGCCTCGACCAAGATTTGAGTTCTCTGGCTACATCTCTTACAACCTCTCCTCCGGCCACTAGTGACGCGAGTCTCACGTCTGACTGCCCATCTGACGATGTTCACGACATTCGTGCTGCATGCGACCAGTCAGCCACGAGGTGCGTTTTTTCAACGGCCTCGGCGGACGATACTGTAGGCATGCTAACCACCTGCGCGTCTTGGCAGACCTCCACTTCCAACAACATCTCTGACGCGTGAGGCACCACGATAGCAACACCGCCTCACGCGCTGGATCCTGCTGCAGACTCTGTCATCATCAAACCTGTCATCGATACATCCGACATTTTATCGAACTAGACGCTCTGTCCGATTTGTAAGCAGCGGCCAGCCTCGCCCTCGCAGTCTCTCGGAGCCGAAGCTAAAGCCACGAGCAATCAACTATGGCCAAACGTCCGAGACGCTGCGACTATGACCGACGCTTCTGAAGACGAGACGACGAGCCTGGTCCACATATGTCACCGCCGACCGCACACGACACGCCTGCAAAACAGGCAATCATCTACGATACCGACCTGCGCAAGAACCCGCGCGCGCCTACAACCGAAGGTGCTTCCCTAAGTCAAGGGGCGCACACTCAGCCTTCTCTGGAGTCTACACATGCTTGATCCCATGACACGCCGCCTACCGAGTTCTTAACGGCAACCGCGGGCCAGCAAGCGTGTAGCTGGAATGTAGGCATGCCCTTTTACAAGCCGCAAACGTCATATATCTCTACCCGACGTGTAGGATGCTACTTACCCACTGCCAACGTAGGCGGTCAAGTCCACTCATATTCGGATACCGCTCAAGTCACGACACCTGCGTACGGACATCGCCGTCAGCGCTGTGCACACCCGCGAAAGCACCATCAAAGCCGTTGCTTGTCAATTGGTTGTCTGAAAGACTTCACTGCACTACTTTTCTTTGCTTGCGCGCAAGGGCCAGATCGGCTTTTGTACAACCGCCCTCACCTCAATCTGAACGCATCTTTACCTGCAATGCTCAATCGCGAACACCATTTGCGCTCCCTGGTAGCCCCAGCTGGTCATCCTGTAACCCACTTGTGTAGGACACAGCGACGCGACGCTTACTTCTTCGTCCACTGCGCAACTTCCAGTATCACCCACCAGAGACCCACTGGTTCCCGATGGTGACGTCATGTTAAAAATGGCAGCATATCTACGGAGTGAATGATGGAGAGTGGGGCGAAGCATCCGTCCGTCCATTCGTTCTTGCTTCCATCCGTCCATGCGTCCGTCTGTGTGACCATCCGTGCGTACATTGGCCCGTCCGTGCGCGCGTCTGTTCGTGCGTCCGCACGTCCATCTGTGCGTCCGTCTCTGCGTTCGTCCATGCATCCGCCCCTGCATCCACCCATGCGTCCATCCATGCATCTGTCTGTGTGTCCGTTGGTCCATCTATTCAACACTTACCACCATCTCGCATCTTTTCATCATATATTCCCGATATAGAAGCACCGCCATCCAGCGGACATTCCAAGGACTAAACGAGAAGTGGCACCCGCACACTTTCTTACGGCTTGCGCTTCGTGTCTACTTGCCACCTTTAACCACCTTGAGTTCATGGCATATACTACTTCACTAGTATTCATGGCACAACGGCTCAACGCTTGCTAAACCTTTACCAAGGAGGCTACGCCCAGCGAGTATAACGTAGCAATCCTTTCTTGTCAGATAGTGCTCAATGTATATGCCAAAGGCTGCTAATGGGAGAATGAGAGACAGGAGACTGCGCCTTTTAGTTAACGCGGACGCCACGAATTTTTTATTTTTCAACAACGCACAGGAGAAATCTCCCACCGGCACCACCTTGCAGGTGAAAACTTTAGACTTGTTACACAGTACAACTATGGCTACGACTACGACTACGAGGGATGAACGGGAGCCGCTATAAGGAGCTTCACCCGTAAAACGCGGACTTCGTAAACAGGAACCTTACAGATTGTCGTTCAAGTGCATAGATCTGTCTCTCTCCTTTTTAACCCTTTAACCCGCAGATCAACAATATTGTAGACCCAAAAAAAACACTTCTGTTCAAAATGCACGCAATGTAAGCTTGTGTTGCTAAATTTAGCGGCAAAAGAATATGTGCTCTTGATTCTAATTTGTAAATAAGGCAACAGAGAGCGCCAGTTGATACTTTGTTGACAAGAAGGTAGCACGTGCGATTCGCTGACGTTATCTTCCGACGACGGATTTTGGCCTGACGTTTCAAGAGCTCTAAAAAGGTAAGCAAATTTAGATTTTAAAAATACGTAGGAGGAGGTATGAGGAACCTGTGGTGTGAATGTTATAGCGTTGTTTAGTTGAGACGCTGCGAAAGAAACCCGTTACCGCGATCCACAATATAGTTGAGCTGCCAGGCAAGGGTTGTGGAACACCACGCGCGTTGTAGAAATGCATGGCTTCTTGACGCTTCGGGTCGCACGCTTTTAGCGTTGTAATTGTTTGATGCTTTAACATTTTCATCGCAAATAAAACCAGACAAGCTATAGCGTGTGAAGTCGGAGCCATGAATACCGAGTACTTTTCCCCCATAAAAACTTCAAGCCAGGAATATAGAATGTTTCAAGTGGAACGACGCGAGTGTATTTTCATAGAATGTACTGATCTTATTCTTTGCAGGAATGGATAAAGACGTCGTCTATGGAAAGTGTGGCACGGACAATGTGCTAGAGTGAGTGATGGACAGATGGACAGACAGGTAGACATAGAGACGGACGGATGGAAGAAAGAACGAGCGGATGAACGGAAGCACGGACGAACAGATGGCCTCACGGACGGAAGCAAGAACAATTGGATGAACGGGAATATGAATGAACGGAAGCGTGGATGCACGGGCAGGTGGAATCATTGAAGCACGGACAGACGGAATCACAGAAGCACGGACGCATGGAGAAACAGAAGCATGGGCCGAGGGAAGCACGGACAGACGAAGGCATGGACAGGTGCAAGCACGGTCGGACGCTTCGACCCACTCATTCTTTCACTCCTTATACATGCTGCGATTCTTTTCGAACACCGCCCATTACCGTTAACTGGCAGATCAACAAAATTGTTGACCTCCTCTAAATTTTTAGTTTTTTACAAAAAATCGTGAAAATTGTTTTTGTGGTTCTGTGGTGGTTTTAAAGAAGAAATATATCAGCGAGAACTTGTTTCCCCTGTTTTTTCTCATCTTGCCAGTGAAAAAGTTAAATGCAAAGCATTTCTTAGCAAACTTCGGCGACCTTGAGCGTATCTATCTATCTATCTATCTATCTATCTATCTATCTATCTATCTATCTATCTATCTATCTATCTATCTATCTATCTATCTATCTATCTATCTATCTATCTATCTATCTATCTATCTATCTATCTCGCCGCCTACGACTTCTAGCTCTTTCGATAATTGCATCGATACGAAACTTGGTATGGCATGACATGACTGTATGACGATCATGAGTCATCATCATCATCAGCCTGACTACGTCCACTGCAGGACAAAGGCATCTCCCATGTTCCGCCAGTTAACCCGGTCCTGTGCTTGCTGCTGCCAATTTATACCCGCAAACTTCTTAATCTCATCTGCCCACCTAACCTTCTGTCTCCCCCTAACCCGCTTCCCTTTTCTGGGAATCCAGTCAGTTACCCTTAATGACCAGCGGTTATCCTGTCTACGCGCTACATGCCCTGCCCATGTCCATTTCTTCTTCTTGATTTCAGCTATGATATCCTTAACCCCCGTTTGTTCCCTAATGCACTCTGCTCTCTTCTTGTCTCTTAAGGTTACACCTACCATTTTTCTTTCCATTGCTCGCTGCGTTGTCCTCAATTTAAGCTGAACCCTCTTTTTAAGTCTCCAGGTTTCTCTCCGTAGCTATGTACCGGCAAGATACAGCTGTTATATACCTTCCTCTTGAGGGATAGTGGCAATCTACCTGTCATAATTTGAGAGTGCTTGCCGAATGTGCTCCACCCCATTCTTATTCTTCTAGTTACTTCAATCTCGTGGTTCGGCTCTGCGGTTATTACCTGCCCTAAGTAGACATAGTCTTTTACAACTTCAAGTGCACTATTACCTATCTCGAAGCGCTGCTCCTTGCCGAGGTTGTTGTACATTACTTTCGTTTTCTGCAGATTAATTTTAAGACCCACCTTTCTGCTCTCCTTGTCTAACTCCGTAATCATGAGTTGCAATTCGTCCCCCGAGTTACTCAGCAATGCAATGTCATCGGCATAGCGCAGGTTACTAAGGTATTCTCCATTGACTCTTATCCCTAACTGTTCCCATTCTAGGCTTCTGAAAACCTCCTGTAAGCACGCGGTGAATAGCATTGGGGAAATTGTGTCCCCCTGCCTTACACCCTTCTTGATTGGTATTCTGTTGCTTTCTTTATGAAGCACTATGGTAGCAGTTGATCCCCTGTAGATTTCTTCCAGAATGTTTATATATACTTCATCTACGCCCTGATTCCACAGTGTTTGCATGACGGCTGATACTTCTACTGAATGAAACGCCTTCTCGTAATCTATGAAGGCTATGTATAGTTGTTGGTTATACTCTGAGCATTTCTCTATTACCTGATAGATAGTATGAATGTGGTCAATTGT